CAAAATTTTGGCATTTAATATAAAAAATTTTAAAATTTTTTTTTAAATTTTTTTTATATCCAATCATAATTAGTATATAACGCATTCTGATTGGCTAAATAGTATTTATATATACCCCAAATTTGGCGCATTTGATATGAAGTGACTTGGTGCACCATATGTAGATAATTCCAAATAATTCTAACACAAATATAAAAAATGTCTGATGATTCAATTACTCCTTTAACCAACGATACATCAAATGTTACTTTCTTCAAGAAAAGTAAGATCGGTAAAAATGTTCGTAAACGCAAAAAATCTCCGTCTCCTAATGCTTCCTCGGAGGTTGCTGAAGAAGGTTCTGCAGTAGTAACAAAAGAACGTAAATTAGATACTTCACATCCTTTTGTGCAAGGTACAAAAAAAGGAAAACATACCGAGGATATCGGTGTCACCTTTTCCGCAAGCAAATCCGCAATATCGTCATTATCTCAAGACATCGCTACACGAAAGGCTGAATGGGATACGGAAACTGATCGTGATGCTCAGGCTTTGTTAGAAAAGAAACTAGCTGCTGAAGAAGTTTGTTCTACTTTACCATTCTGATCAATATCATTATATTATATATTTTAATATTTGTTTTAATAATTGACTTTTATATTCTTTTCTTTTCAGGCCGATGATGACAATCTTTATAAAGGTCAAAATGCTTATAAAACATATATAAAAAAACGTGATACTGCTGCTGGAAATGCCGCAAGCTCAAAAATAAAGTACGTATCATGTGTATTCATAAAAATATATCTCGACTTTATCCAATTTAAATTATTTTTATTATAGAGCCGGTCCAATTCGTGCCCCTACAAATATTCGTGTTACTTCGCGATTTGATTATCAACCAGATATATGTAAAGATTACAAAGGTAAATAATATTTGTGTAAAAAGAAAAACTTTTTTTTCTTGACATATTATTTTTGTTTAATTTTTTTAATTTCAATTCTAGAAACTGGTTATTGTGGTTACGGTGATTCTTGTAAATTCTTGCATGATAGAGGTGATTACAAATCTGGATGGCAATTAGAAAGAGAATGGGAGGAAATGCAAGGAAAAATTCGACAAGACAAAAGTGAATTTCTTATTGAAAGTAGTGATGAAAGCGATGACGAATTGCCTTTTGCTTGTTTAATTTGTAGGCAAGAATATAAAAATCCCGTGGTAACAAAGTATGCATTATATAATAAATGTTTTTTTCATTATTTGCAAATAATACTATACAATGATGCTTAATTCGCAAAAATAGGAATCTCTCTGATTTCAAAAATCGTATTGATGATAATATGCTTCTGATTGAAAAATTATTATTTTTTATTATAATGGCAATAAAATTCAATAATATGATAACTCCTTTTTTTGGTTTGTTTTTTTTTAGATGTGGTCACTATTTTTGTGAAAAATGCGCATTACAGAATTTTACCAAAAGTCCGAAATGCTATGCTTGTGGTGCTGCTACCAATGGTATATTCAATACTGCAAAAAATATATTACAAAAACTGGAAGAAAAAAAGAAAAGACTAGTGGAGAAGGGGATTGAAGTGCAGCAACCACAACAGCAGGAACAGCAGCAAATTGATAGCGATAGTTCTGCTGAAGAAGAATAAAAGAATAGATTACCTTCAACTATAATGACGCTACTTCTCCTTTCGAGTGTTCAATTTCTAATACTCGTATGTCTGTTCCACGAATGACTACATGTTCATAAATACCAACTGGTGATTCCCAGTTATCAAACCGAAATTTAGTTTCCATTGCATCTGTTGCCTGAAAAGTTCCTTGAATCACTGTACTGAATAATAGGGCTTTTTAGCTCTGTCAAACAAAGGTTAACTTCATAAGAATATTTTTGAACGACGTTACATACTTTTCATAAAGTCTTGCTGTCGTCTTTGGTTTTTTTTGACTCAAGTCTAACCAGAAAAGTAAAGATCTTTGTCGAAGATTTGCCGCTGCTTTAGAATTATCGTTTTCCATTTGTATATAGTATTTGGACTGCAAAAAAACGTCCAGTATGATTTATAAAAAGTATACAGTAAATTTTTTTTACAGAATTTGTCTATATCGATATTAACCAATCAAAAATGATAACTACTGATAGCATTGTTTCACTAACTTTGCGTCACACTCAAATCGGCACTCTATTTTGGAACACCATTGGCGGCGCCATAAACCTTAATTAGGAGGCCCGCAGCAATTGTTGGCCGTTTTGAATAGCCCATTACTACGTATACATACTAGTATTATCAGTTATGGGAAATGAGTCATCCGATTGGAAGAAGAGAATGAGGTTAGTTATGATGCGTATTTTGCACAGGCATCTCGCAGACCAAATGAGTGCCGCCAAGGGAAAACCCACAATCGGGCTTTCAATGTTCAGTTTGTTTTCTGTATGCCATCTAGGAATAGT